TTGGTGTACTGATAACTAATCGTGACCTACACTTATAGTAGAGCACATAATTAGTTTAACATTCTATGCAAGATGATTAAGCAAAATGAAATTAACGTAATGATAATAATCCTGGCACACCTGACAACCTGAACTGTACATAACTCTACCCTCTTATAGCTTCGCTCCCATTTTCATAAAACTCATCCTTCGTTACTCACCTGTTTCAGTTTGCACTACTAATAGAGAATGAAGTACTTTTCAGTTATTTTATAGCTTAAAAGACTAACCTTCACGATTTAATAGGAAAGCACCACTTTTCGTATTTGGTGTATTGACTTGTCCAAGCACTTCGGTTAATGCTTTCGGTTTTAACATTACTTCAGCCTAAGTCCAGTCATAAACTCTGCATGAAACAAAGTTTAAATTTATTTCGAAAACTTCATCCGTATTTCTTATCCACCTTTATCTTTTTGACGTGATCATTTCAAAAAAATTTAAAACCACATTCGAACTATCCAGTAACCGTAAGTGCTTCTAACAGTCACATCCATAGCCCCAATAATCACATTTTCTCTTTCTCCTACTTTATTTCAAATACAAGCAAAATAAAATAAACCTAACCGCGAACGAATCGATAAACAGGCAGTTAAAACGTATATGCAATATTTTTTATTTTAGCTTAAACAGTTGCGTCACATAAAAACCGGGAATTGAACAGAACAAAACAAAAGCAAAAAAACCCACTGAATAATAAAGTGGTTGCAAAAGTACATAACAATGGAGATCATAAAATTGAACTAATCAAATTTTTAATTTCACATAACTAATTGTGATTTCAATCGGTCCATCGATGTGCGCAACTTGGATTCACACAAACATAATACAGCCTCATCTCTTCCTGAAACAGAATTGTCCTATTTAAAAATAATTCAAAGATTAACTAGAGCAAGCTAAAAGATTCATGTAAAAAATTCAATCAAAGCATACTTCAGCTCTCCTAGATTGAGCTTGGAAAAATACAGCTTCTCGTCCTTGACACATTGGACAAGGATGGTCCTCGGTTTTCGGCAATGTTGGGTCATGTACGACATCAGCCACAATTTGAGTTAATTCACTAAAAACGATCAAAAATAAAAGTCTTAATGCTGAATTGTATGACTGATTAGTCTGCAATCGGTGCAGGTTATAGTCAAGTGAACAGTCGAACCTAAATTTGAATTTGAAGACCAACTTTCTTAAAAAAGAAAATACTAAGTCCAAAAACAAAACTTACTCCACTTCATGCATTAACTTGTTGACATAAATACATGGATTTTCGGAAAGCTGTTTATGGTCACAATTCCGGCATGCATATAATAATTGCCGATTTTCTTTGTCCTCTTTTGGATATAACATATTATTGCTGAAACAATCTTCAGCTATTGCAAAAACTCATAAAATAATACGGACATTTCTATTTCCAATAGCTATCGAGAAATCCAAAATAAACTCATGATCTATTGCAAAAACCACTTGGAACAACTCTAACCACACATCACTTCCACACCTTGTTTTCTTGATTTGTTTAAAATTGAAATGAACTTACCATTCCGGACAAAACTTTATACCGACAAATCCAGGCTCTGCACTCATTCTTCGAATTTACAATTTGCAATGTCCCCTCAGGATTTGCACTACAATCTTCTTTCTTTCGAATCTCGAAACTTCCAGCACCTAAACCCTTGACGCAACGTGGTCACTTCCGCTACAGCACATTTGCTTCAAAGTGAAGTCACCTAAATGATGTAGTCAAGCATAACATAACCAGTTCGGCTCACATCTAATTCTACCACGCAGACCATTTCTGGTTCATATCCCACATTTCTATAGCTCTCGAGGAAGATTACCGCTTATCAACGCTTCAAGTAAAATAAGAACTTAGGCAAAATCTTAAATTTCAGCTTATAATTGTCCATAAAACCCAATATTATTCTTCTGCTTCAGCTTCTGCATTCATTTCAATAAATATTCGGATTATTTCGACAAAGAAAGAAACAATAAAAACAGAATACCGGCTTTATTACTATATTTTGGCTTATGACATTAATAAAACTACAAGTTATGCAGATAATACTACACACATTACAACGACTGGACACAATGAAAAAGAAGTTGAGTGAATAATTTCAAGTGACAATAAACTTTTCAGCAACAAATAGAAAACCTACTAGCAGCATGCCCATGAAAATGCCAAGTAAATATTTGTCACGATTTCCTCACAAGCTAAAATACATCACATCCTCACAAGCTAGAACATATCACACTTGCACTTTATAACATATAAGAGAAAAAGTTTCGTTTCATCTATAGAAATCTGATGCTTGAAGCACGGCACATCCTGATTTGGATTTTACACGTACCGTGGAGTATTTTGTGAAAGATAAAATAAAGTAAAAGAAATCAATAGGGCTTACCACTATATGCTATATAAACTGCATGATAATCATCAGTCAGATGTTTAATGAAAAATAACAAACTATCACAGGAATCATTTGGAAATGTGCTCGCAGCGCAAATTACTAACATCTTCACTTTTGCTCATTGTACACATCGACTGTTGTAATACCTTCAGTCAAAGAATTTTCTATTCGGATTTGCACCAAACAAAGCTACACGAATTTGGGGTACAATCTGCAATAACTTTTTCTCATATGTACAATCCGTTGCAGTCGTCAAACAAAGTAAACCAATTTGAGTCT